TGTACTTTAATACAAAAAAATCCCTGTCACAAGTGTAAGATGGGGGAGGTATGAATAGACAATAGTTATTCTAAAAAAAGACCTGTGGGTTGTAGTGGATTGCAAGCTCAATGTGATTCAACAGTATAATGCAGTAGTCAAGCTAATGCAATCTTGGACTAAGTCAAGAGAGGCAGAGCATCTAGGAATAGGGAGGTGATGATTCTACTATACTTTATCCTCTTCAGACCTGATATGGACTTTGTGTTTAGTTCTGGGCACCACAATTTAAGGACAATAATAAATTGCAGAGTATTAAGAGAGGAAAATGAGGCTGCTGAAGGGTTTTCAGTCCATGACATGAGGATCAGTTAAAGGAAATGAGAATGTTTTGCTTGGAGAAAAGAAGGTATGTATAATAGCTACTTCAAGTATTTAAAGGACACTAATGTGGAAGAACTCTAAAGCATTCTAGGGGTATTCTAAGGGTTTGGAGTGTCCCCACTCTAAGGCTATCAGCTTGAGCCCACATTTCAAGTGTGTGTTCCCCTGACTGTTTGTACCAGGAGTGACTTCCCAGTTCCATTATAGCTTTTACAAAGGAATATTTACTTCAAAGATATAGCAAGAACAAAACTACAAACATTTCACTGGAACTAGTTAAAGAATGTCCATGCACACTCTAAAATCTCTCCAAGGCTCTTCCTTTACATATCACTACACCTCTTTTAGAAGCAATCTCTTGGGCTTCTTTTATGAGGAGAAATGCACCAGCTACATGTGCTGATACAGTCAAGCACATACTTGTGCTTGTACAGATTGGAAAGATTGGTTGGTTCCCCCAATGCCTGCTAAATTCTTTACTTTTTTGATGTTGTTTGAGAGTGTATTTTGAACATATTGTCCATGTCTCCAATTCAGATCAGTCTTCTAGGGTCCCAAGGAGACATAAACATGTCCTTTCATTTTCTCCCTAGTGCCATACAGGAAAGATCCTCACAATGAAGGGGTATGGGCCCAAGCCAAGACCTTTCCCCCTTATCCCAAAAAGAATTTGGGTCCCATTTGTCTACAGGATTCTCCTTGAATTCTCCCACTTGATCAAGGAGGTCTCTGGAGCTCCCCCTAAAGCTATAATCCTATCAATTAGCCTTTCATTATTGCCTACCCCCAATCTCCCAATTCTTTGTTACCCTTAACCTAGCCCAGCCCTCCATTGTCTATTACCTCCCGATGGCCCCAGCTACTTCCCACCCTTGACCCTATCTAGACTCCATTCTCCACCTCCCAGTCACTGGATCTTTTCTAGATCCCTCCCACAATCTTTCTGTATATAAGGTCCATCTTGTCTCCATTAAGGTGCTCAGATTCCTTAAGAGCCTAGCCAATAGCTCATGAATATTCAGATTACTTAAGAGTCTGACCAATATGGTGGATCTTTAACAAACCTTGTCTTTGGCTGAAAGAAGGCTTGGGTCAGATTCATTCAGGCAGGACCCACATGTTGTGATTTAGGGGTCCCAGCACCCCTAACCTCTAGACCTTAACAACACCAATCAGTGTGACATGGTCTAATGCTGCTCCACATGTACAGGCAAAAATCACAATTGTCCCCAAATAAAAAGTTATGCAGATTCAACAAGAACATTTCAGAAAATTTACCAAAGATTACTGATTGCTTAGTACTCAGCAAGTACCTTTCTTAGTGCTTAAAATGGCTTTCTTCAACTCAAAGACAATAAAGAAAAGGAAAAACACTAAGAAAGGCTTCCTGTGTTGAAAGGAAAACTAGACCCAACAGAGCTTCCCAAACCACATAGACAAAATCAAATTTCTGACCTGGTTGACTGGAAGTTACCCCTTACATCCTTAGGTGAAAAACTAATTGTCCTTGGTGAAAACTCTTCCATGATTCCCTTAGCAATAAGGCCATCCATCTGGGGTCCAGACAAATATGTCTAAGTTTCCTTTTCTATATATGGCACACTAAAATTTCTCTAGGGGTCCCTGGGCCATAGACAATTTTCTTAGAGGCCCAGGAAGATTTCCTCTGGGTTCTTCTTTTAAAGGACATGCCATATATTCCAAAATGGATCTCTGCCACTGCAGGGACAATTCTGTTGTTTGTCTTTCATTCTCAAAGAGGACTCTGACATCAGGAAGATGATGCCATGACTTGCAAGTGAAATCAGATTTAAGGGAGGGAGGGCTGTGTAAAGTCACCAGACTCACTTTCTTCTCTGGAGTCATCTGGGTCCAATTGATGGGGTATGGGCCCAAGCCAAGATCTTTGCCCCTCACTCCAAAAAGAATTTGGGTTCAATTTATATGCGGACCCTAGAAAACCCTTGGATTGTCCTTGGATTCTCTTACTAGATCAAGGAAGTCTCTAGCATTCACCTGAGGCTATAATCCTAACTGGCCTTTCCTTATCACCTACAGTCCAATCTCCCAGTTCTTTGTTACCTTTAATTTAGCCCATCTCCTTATGGTCCATTACCTCCCAATTGCCCCTGGCCATTTCCCACCCTTAATCCTATTTAGACTCCATTCTCTCTTAGCCCTGTGGTCCAGGTCCCTGGCATTGTGTTCACCCCAGTTGATTGGCTACTCCCATCCAGATCCTCCTTAGACCCCTCCTCCAGTCACCCCAAACTACTTGACCATTCCTAGATCTCTCCCCGAGTCTTTCTGTATATAAGTTCCATTTTGTCTCCATTAAGGTGCTCAGATTCCTTAAGAACCTAGCCAAGGGCTCAGATTCTTATAATCTAGCCAACAGTTCGCAAATGTTCAGATTCCTTAAGAGTCTGGCCAATATGGTGGATCTTTAAAAAACCTTGTCTTTGGCTGAAAGAAGGCTTGGGTCGAATTCATTTGTGCAGGACCCATGTCGCTTGCTCTTGAGATTTTGGGGTCCCAGTGATGGGGTTGGGATCTACACCCCAGAAAGGAAAAACCCTGGACTTTCCCACATGGACAAATCTCTGGCATTAGTCCGAGTCTATAATCCCATCAACTGGCCTTTCATTGTCTTATCTCCCTATGGCCCCCAGCCATTTCCCACCCTTAATCCTCTCCAGGCTCCATTCTCCCTTGGCCACCAGGTCCAGGTCCCAGGAGTTCTGTTCACCCCAGTTTACTGGCCACTCCTAGGTCCCTCCCACAGGCTTTCTGTATATAAGGTCCATCTTGTCTCCATTAAGATGCTGGGATTCTTATAATCTAGCCACAGCTGGGATTCTTATAATCTAATCTAGCTACTCTTCAGATTCCTAAAATCTAGCCACTACTTAGATTCTTATAATCTAGCCAATAAGCCAATAGCTTATTAATGTTCAGACTCCTTAAAAGTCTGCCCAATATGATGGATGTTCTAATAAACCTTGTCTTTGGCTGAAAGAAAGCTTGGGTCAAATTCTTTTGGGCAGGACCTGCGTGTTGTAATTTTGGGGTCCCAGGACCCCTGAATCCCTAAACCGCATCACCAGCACCCCTAAACCTCTAATTCTCAACACAATGGCAAGATATAGATTAGGACTACTGGAGATGGTCCTGGATGCAGGGGGAGACCTTGGCCTTTTTAAGGTAAGGTCTTTCCCAGGTCTCAGTTTGGCTGAGGCAACCCCCATTCAGTTATTAAGGCTAGGTAAGAAATGAGGCAAATAATAGCCTTTTTAACCTAGTTAAAAAAAAAATCATCAATCTGAAGAAGACCCTCAGGGTTTCTGGCCAAAACAGAAACAACTGCTATTTACATTCACTCAGAGCCATCAGGGCCTAAATAGTGACCAATTGGGCTTGGGCTAGGACGTACTGTTGGCCAATCAGTAAGAACCAGAGTGATTTGGATTTAAGTCTGGGTCCTTAAGAAAGAAATCTAGCCAGTAAACCCCAAGATGGCTTGGGAAGTTTCAGCGATCATAATTTACATTCTTTTGGGCAGGTAAGGGTATGATACCCTATGTGGACAGAGAGAGGAAGGATAAGAGGGGAGAAGAGGAAAAGGAGTGAAGCATCCTTGTCCAACTACAAGGACAAGCCTACTGGAATTCCAGACTCACCCATTAACAGGATAAATAAGCTTACTAATTAAGCTCTTAGAGTTGATAGTTCCCTACCCAACCCCAGCCCCATTCCTTACATTGTGAATGCACCAGTAATAGAAATTCATTTACATGGAATGCTGCAGCATATTTACACAACCCTGTCAAGTGGGTAGAGCAATACTGTTCCCTTTTTAAAGATGATGGACCTGAGGCTTAGGGGGCTAAATGACTTGTCCCAGGTCATGCAGCAGTAGAGATAAGATTCCACTGCCATCTCTCTCTGTAGAATGTGATACCATTAAGTGTCCTATTTCAGTTTAATCATTAATTTCAATTCATGTCTCCCATACCTGTTTATAAGAGTTGCTCCTGAACTTGGCTAATTATAAACTAGAATTGGGGGAACTGGACTAGATAACCTTAAAGATCCCTTCCACAGCACAAAATCTATAATCCTCATTTATTTCTGAATTAATCAAGAGCTGAATGAATGAGAAAAGCAAATGGAGGATTTTGCTTTCGTGGAAGAGATTTTCTCTGACCAAAGGGAATTCTAGAGTATCTTGGCATTGAAGACAAAAGAAGGTATCTTTCCCTTCTCTTTGTGTCACATTTCTAAAACAGCAGCCTTTATTCGAGTGTCAAAATATAAATCTATGATCAGTACTCGTTTTCTGGGCCTGTTTCCAAAAGGAAATGAATATTATCATGTCCTTTGTAGGCATTCCTCTTGCCCCCTCCATGGCTTATAGCTTTTAAAGACTAATCAGTCATTTACAATACAAGGAAGTATGACCTTTCTTTGAACAAGATTTTCTTCTGCATTTTGAACTTTCATTTACAGCCTACACAGGAAAACTATGCATATTTAAAAGCCCTCTGTGATGCAAACAAAAATTCCACCTGCCCCCACATCTTGATGTTTTATATTTCCTGAACAGAGAGCTCTTTCTTCAAATTGTATCAGCAGCTTCAAAGTATTAAAACCCCAAAATTCGCTCTCGTTTGATATGGCTGATTATGAATTCCATTATGTTCACATGTTAGCCCAGGACTACTTGAAGTATGTTCAACAGATGCCACAACTGGGATCGTGTCTAAATAAGACATCTCAAATACTACAAAAAGTTGCTTTCTCTGTTCAAGGAGAAGTTGAAAAGGATATGGAAACATGCTTGAGCACTTTGGATATTGCTTCTGTAGATTCTGCCAGAAGAATTTTCAAAAGCGTTATGGAAAAGGAATTTGAGGATGGCATTATTAACTGGGGACGTATTGTCACCATATTTGCTTTTGGGGGAATTCTCATCAAGAAACTTCTGAGACATAGATCTCCACTGACTATGAGTACTCATGAAGAAGTTTCTTATTTTATTGCTGAGTTCATAATGAACAACATAGCAGAGTGGATAAGACAAAACGGAGGATGGGTATGTTTTACAGAAATATTTCTCAAAACTCTTTATTGGTAAAATAGAAAATGAAGTTTCCTTACTAATAGTTTAATCTATCTAATGATTCTATCTGTTTAGCACAGTCTTTCCTAGATGGCCTATTTTACAAGTCTAGATTTTGATAAAAACTTTCTGGTACAGTTTCATAGAATCATATTATCATGATGCTGGAAGGGGATTGTATCAGCAAACACAGATTATGTTTTATTTGTAATAACATTAAAAGACAAGACTGATGCTTCAGTGACCTAAAAACTGTCAAATGCACCCTAAGAATTAAGTACTTATTACACAGTGCAGGGGATAGGAAGGGCAAAGAGTAAATACCAAGAGATGTTGGAGTAGCTCAGGAATCCAATGAAGAGGGAGGGTACCATACATGCCCGAAGTGAGCAGGCAGAAGCAGATACTTAGATACAGCAGTATCTACTGGTTGGAATTTGAAGATCAATGTAGCCCAATGCAGATGGGCTGGCTTGAAGAGATAAAGCAAGCAGAAAACCAGCAGACCAAATAACCAGAAATCAGTTCAGGAGAAAGGGAGTCTTAGGAAAAAGATGACACGACGTACGTTGCTTGGCTTCCTTTGGGAAGGGTGTATGTATGGTGGAACATGTTGGTCCTTGTATCTTAAAGGTCAAGACCTGCTTAACATATAGGGAACATACTAGAGTGGATATTTTCTTATAGTTGTTCTGACCATGTAGAATACAGACATGTTGGAGGTATCTCAATTAGCAATTATTATTTTAGACACTTCTAATATTAATTTGAAACCGTTATACATCTCTGCAAATCCACAGCTCAGGAATATTTTTTCAGTCAGTTTCCTAATTTTATAAATAATTAAACTCTACTCTCTAGTAATAATCTTTGTTGGCAAAAATGTATGCATTGCCCTGTCTGGTGCACTCTTTTTTTTATGAACTTCTGAGACCTTGGTAAAATTGTGATTCATGTCATTATCTATTAATATTTCTTAAAACACTTAGATGTGCCAGGTACTGTGTTGGCCACTATACTGAATAAAAACTGATATGATTTTCATACCAATAAGTAATCTAAACTAACTACTACATTTTTTCCTTTTTTAAGAGTGCTATTATCTTTTTTTGCTAATTGAGATACCTTCAATTATACTTAAAATTATACCTCACATAACACCTAATTTATCTCCAAAATATCTCTGTAAAGTGGCAAAGGGAAACCATATTTATCCCAAATTATCTCCCAAATCTCATATTTGTTCTATGAAGTTTGAATTCAGTCAAAGGGCCGCCCTTGAGGACCTAGAGGGCCCATGTGGTCTCGGGGCCACAGGTTTCCCACCCTTGAGCCAGACTTTATTAGTTAGTAATCTACTTCTATAATAACTCTTTGGAGCTTTTAGAAAATTAGTCAATCTGATTCTCATGCTCCCTGAAATCATGCATGGGAGAAGCTCTTCATTCTCATACATGGGAGCTGAGTGCAGAAAAAAGGAAAATATACTACTGCTAACCTGGTTGTTTTCCTTCTTCCCTCTCCCATCTGCTCCATGAGTTGGAGAACAGGTCAATTTAAAGTTATACAATACTTCATTGTACTTACTGTAGTGGTTCTAAAAGTTATTCTAGTTTTTGCACTTAATTCTTTTTTTTTTTTTTTTGGTGAGGCAATCGGGGTTCAGTGAGTTGTCCAAGGTCACACAGCTAGTACATGTCAAGTGTTTGGTCTAAGGCAAGATTTGAACTCAGGTCTTCCTGACAGCAGGACTGGTGCTCTATCCACTGCGCCACCTAGCTGCCCCTGGTTAATTCTCACTAAGAGACTACAGCTTAATTTTTTTAGTTCTACAGAGGTTACGCAAGTAACAACATAAATATATTCAAAAGACTACTTAAGATTTGATTGGTAGGAAAAGAGGCATATTGATCAATACTACCCTCTTCATCAAATGGAGTAATTTTTGTTTATTATTCTTTTTTTCTTTTGTTACTTTTGTCTTTTGTTCTCCTCTTCCTTTGTTATTTATTGTTATTTCCCCTTCTATTCCCATTGTCATTTGGAAGGGCTGAAACTAAATGAGATTTTACAGGATTGGGTAGTTGGTATTCTTCTTCAGTTGGACATAAAAAGAAAAGGCATAGAACAATGTTTTCTTGAATGTCAAGGAGATTCTTCTTTAAAAAATCCATACCAGTAGAATGAGTCTCCCCTGTCAGTCTCCCCTTTTTGTTCCACATGACTTTCTTTGAGATGACATATCTATGTTCTTTTCTCAGTGGTTGAATAATAGCAATGACTCCAAAACAGGGTTAGTAAGATTCTACTTTTACTTCTCCTTTTTTTTTTCTTACTTCTCTAAAGCACCCTCCTATCCTGTTTAAGTAAGTACTAAAATGCATAGCACCAGTAGACTTGTTTGCAGAACTGCACTGATACTGAATGAGAGTCCTTTACAAAGCCAAAAACAGACAGGGAAGAGTGTAATCTTCATAGTAAATACTGTATCAAATTCTGGAACAGACAAATGAGCTATTAAAAAAAATCTAAAGAAAAAAATTAACTTTCATGTTTCTCTGTAAGTAATGACCACTGCATACTTTGGTGGCAAACATTTAACTCAGTGGAAACACAGAGCACTGACTATAAAGTTTGTTTTCTTCTGAATATGGACATTATCTAAATGTAAGACCTCAAGTTGAATGGCTTATTTGCTTTGCTCATCAGACCTTTTGTATAAAATAGATTCTGAAAACTTTAAAATTTGAACTTTAAGTTCTGAATTTTAACATACCAAGTTAAAAATGTTTTGTTAAGAAATAATGACAAATGCATATGTTTCTAGAATAGCATAGTCCCAGCATGGAACTGTTAAAAAAAAAAAAAAAAAAAGAATTTTCATACAGACCCATATAAGTGATTTGTGCAAACCTCTTAGCTAGTGAGGCCACAAGAATACTTTTTTTGAGTTCTAGGCCCAGATCTTTTTAAAGTACGTAGGGTTTTATTTACTTGGAGCAGTAGCTACAAGTTTTTATTTCAAACTTTGAATTAGCGAAGTCAATATAGTCAAATTGAGCCAATTACCATTACTCCCAGAGATAATATAAATATACAATATATTTGAGCATTTAAAAAAATCTCTCTTGGAATTAATAATAGAATAGTGGCTCAAGTAACCATTATTTTAGAAGCTAAATTTTTGTGTTTTAAAGAGATGATACAGTAACTTCCCTGAACAAAAGAGACAATTTCATTATCACAATAGTTGACTTTATATATTATCTTTGATTCTCACCAACTACTCCATGAAATTGGTAGTATTTATAGATAACGAAATTGAGGCTCTGAAAGGATAAATGATTCCTCTAGGATCAAATGACTGGTCTTGTAGGTGTTATTCAAATTCTGGTCTCTCCTGACTCCAAACGGTGTCTTGCACATTTAAATGTTTGTTGAATTGAATTGCTCTTTCCATTACTCCACATAGCATGGATCCAGGGTGTACAGGCTATAAATGGGAAAATGGGGAGGTTTTCTTACCTATGTTTAGAATATGGCAGGTCCTTATGACACTTTTCATCTACTTTATAGACAGAGAAAAGGGCTTATTAAAATATAGTAAAAATTGGTTTATCTAGTTTCTTTTTTTTGCCAAATTGAAATCTCTATTGTCATTTTACCAGTAAGAGAAGAAATGATCATAAAAGCAACTTGGGAGATACTATAGGATCCTAAAGTGCTTGTGCATCATCTAAAAAAAAATTCAATTATGTTCATTTTCTTGAATTTTATTTCCTTAAAGTTATTGTTCAGAAATGTACCATTGTACGTGACATAGAAATCTGACATGTACTCTGATGGAAGGTATATCTAAGACACAGAAGGCTTGTGTTCTAGTCCCTGTTCTCCTACTGGCTGACCTTAGGCAAGTCATCAAATCTCTATAAGCTGTAGTTTCCTCAATGTAAAATTAGCATGTTGATTTAAGGTCCTTATAATTAATCAATCAACAAGCATTTGTATAGGTGCTAGGAGTATAGTGAAAATAGTAAGACAATCCCTGCTTTCTAGAACTTAACCTGAGGTCTGTGAAATAATAAAAAAAATACCCAAACTATATTTCAATATAATTAGTTTCTTTGTAATTCTATGTATTTTATTTTATGCCTTTAAATACATTACTCTGAGAAGGGGTCCAGAGTCTTCATTAGATTGCCAGAAAGGTCCAGGACACAAAAAAGATTAAGAACCCCTGGTCAACCAGTCGCTGCGAGTGCATAGGGCATAGAATATTACCCTTTCCAGTATCAATGGTAATGTTGATTTGATTGTTGTTATATGGATAAGACGATAGAGAGGTGGGGAGAGGTGGTGGTAATGAAACAGCTGGGCAGATAGCAAGATATGTAAATAGACTAGGCTCTGGTATCCTGTTTGATGGCTAAATGAGATTAATTACAGCTTGGGTATCTGGGTAGACATGGAGGGTTTGAAGTGAAGATTACCTTATTCCCTCTCCTATCTGGGCAGCTCCATTTCCATTTCCCAATGCTGCACAGAGTAGCTGCATCAGGGTTAGGGGACAGGGTCCCTGGAGGTCCAGATTTGGAGGGCTGCTATTCTTGGTGGAGAGAAGCAGGCAATGGCAAGGCAGACCTCTTGAGTCCATGGACCCAACGTTAAGAATTTCTGCCCTCTAGTATTTGCAAAAGAAATTGGGTCAATTATTTACTATTTATGTATTTATGACAGTTTTAATGCTTTACATCGTCAACTTAGTCCTCACTTATTTTTGAAATGTTTAAAAACAAAGAATTTTTTTTTAAACAGGAAAATGGCTTCGTAAAGAATTTTGAACCTAATATGGTGTGGCCAAACTTCACGGATATTTCAACAAAGATCTGGGGTGTATTTTCCTTTCTGAAGTAATCCTTTTCAACTGAAAAGAATTAGTCTATCTTAAAGCACTGGCTAACACAAGAACTCTAGTCAAGATTTACTTCAAGGCAATTTTGTGGACATGACCAGTTCTTTGCGGAATCTATGACAATTAAAAAAATCAGCATTTTTATTAACAAACTGTGAGTGTATATCTATAAATTCACTTGGAGTCGATGCTTTAAGCTCTGAGTTAGTATCGGAGTATAGCAAAATACAAGTTCTCTCTTATCACTTCAATGATATGTTCCATTGACAGGAACACATCAAGACTCAAACATCATTATCAATAGACATTTACTGATATGTTACTTTTACATACTACTGTACTATACTGTACTATAATCTTCCTTGAAGATAGAGCTGTTCACATTATTTACAAATATTTTCAATGACACTCCAAGGATTACCAAATAAAGTTCAACTGTTCTCTAGAATCCAATACCCTACAGTCTGGTACCACTCTTATCTTTCTAGTCTTAGCTCATACTACTCTTCTCTATGTATTTATTCTAAGATCTAGTCAAACTAGGACACCCTCCCTTCCCCCATCCCCCAGACCTCATATGCTTTTCTGCCTCTTCAGAGGCAGCTAGGTGGCAGAGTGGTATAATGCTGGGCCTTGAAGGTAGGAAGACCTGAGTTCAAATTTGGCATAAGATACTGGCTAAGTGAAGCTGGGCAACTCACTTAACCTCTGTCAGCCTCAGTTTCCTCAACCATAAAATGGAGATAATGACAAATCTATCTCCCAAGGTTGTCAATGAGGATCAAATGAGATATTTGTAAAGCACTTAGCACAATGCTTGACACATAGTAGGTGCTTAATACTTATTTCCTTCTTTCTTTCCTGCCTTCCTTGTTTTTGCTCATGATGTTTTTTTGTTTCCTTTGTTAAACTGCTAGCTATCCCTTAAAAGCCAGTTCAGATGCCAACCCCACCATGAAACATTTCCTAATCTTCCCAGTTATTAACAAATTAAGATCTCGGATCTAACATAACACTTTATGCTTACTTGATATACTCATCAAATATCTAGTACAATGGTCTGATTTAGGTACGGTTAAATACAATTTAAATTGGCATTTAAATGGTTGACACATTGAATTAATTTGATCAGTCACTTATTATTTACTTGACTTACTAGAACACTTCAAAATATTTACTCATTGAATCAATTTTATTGACCACTTGCTACATGCCTCTCTGTATGAACAAGCACATAGCCTTAGCCTCAAGGAGTTTTCATTTTGGCTAGAAGCTTCAGATAATGTTAAAATAATCATCAGACTAACTCTGATTTGAGTATCTTTAGGCTGAAGCAGACAGAAATCTCACTATAGATTTAAATGAGGACTCAGCTGAGACTAGCTGGGAAGTAAGTGAAGGTTGTTTAAAAGCACTCACTCTCTCCTCAAACCTATCCCTTGGAGTCTCTCATTTTCTTCAAGACATACCTAGGTACTACTTCTTATAAGAGGCTGTTCCTGATTCCCTTAACTGTTAACATTCTCTTCCTCTTAAAATTGTTTCAGTCACATTCCACTCTTTGTGACTCTATTTGGGATTTTCTTGGCAGAAATACTAGAGTAGTTTGACATTTCCTTCCCCAGCTCATTTTATAGGTGAGGAAACTGAGGCAAACAGGGTTAAGTGACTTGGCCAGGATCACACAGCTAGTAAGTGTCTGAGGCCAGATTTTAACCCAGGAAGATGAGTCTTCTTGCCTCCAAGACTGGTACTCCATCCATTGTTCCACCTAGCTACCCCTTCTCTTAAAATTAATTTGTGTTATTTTGCATATACTTCTTGAAGAACTGGACTGTTTTGTTTTTTCTCTTTACAGGTAAGCTCTTAATTCCATAGATTCCACTTCACTGGGACCTGGAAGTTAATTTCTCACTCTTTTTAGAAAAGAATCATAAAGTAGTGGAGGTAGAAGCCATTTTAGATACAAATACCCAGTCAATGAAATAGTCCCTTCTACATTTCTTACATAATCATTTAGCCTCTGCTTGAGCATGTCCAGTGATAGGAATTCATTATTTTGCGAAGCAGCTAGTTCCATTGTCAGATAGCTTTAAGTGTCAGAAAAGTTTTTTCCATATATTGAAGCTTCAACTTTTAGTCCAACTGTTCCCATCTGGAACAATACAGATGAAGTCTTTTTTCTTATTCTCAGATTGTGACGCAGACCAAGTGCTAAACTAAGGAGTCAATAAGAATTAGGTCCAACAAAGTCTGCCTCCAACACTCATTAGTTGTATGACCATGAACTGGTCTCTTCACCTCTGAACTTTTGTTTTTGCATTTGTAAAATGGGGATAATTATAGAAGGTACCTCACAGGGTTTTTTTATGGAAATCAAGTAAGATATGTGCTAAGTGCTTTGTAAATCTTAAAATGTACTAAATAGATGTCTGTATGTTATTATAATTATCTGCATGCAGATATCATATTTGAATTAAATTTAAAAATTCTTATTCAATGTCTACTATGAGTAAGCCATTGCTAGGTACTGGAGATACATATAAAAATGAAACAAGATGTTAGATCATGTCTCCTTTGTCTTCTTCTTTAGGCTAAATATAACTAATTCTTTTAACTATTTCTTATGTAACTAGATTCCAGATCATTCTCCAAAACCTTGCAGTGATCCTTGACAATCCTATTTCCCCCTTTCCCTCCCATCAATCAGCTACCAAGGCCTAATGTTTCCATCATAAAGCATCTGAATCCATCCTACCACTTCCCCTTTGCCTAATTATATCAGGACTGAACTACTGCAATAATCTTCTGATTTGTCTGCTTTTGGTCTTATACTCCATACTAATTCAATTTGACTAACATTTACTACATTCCTACTATGCACATGGCACTGCGCTGGTTGCTAGGAATACAAAGAAACGAATCAATGTCACTACTGTCAAGAGCTCATATTAGACTGGGAGATATACAACATGTATAAACACAGATAAGATAATGAAGGTATTTTGGGGAGGGAGGAAACATTATCAGTTGGAGGGCCCAAAGAAAGTTTCATGTAGGAAGTGGGCACCTCAGCTGAATCTTATAGAGTGGTAAAAATTTTGAGAGGCAAAGCTAAGAATGGAATATATTCCATTCTGGAGCACATACATACATATATACATATACATACACATAGACATATGTGTACACATATGTACATGCAGATGTGTATTTATATGTGTGAATTTGGAATTCTATTGTACATAGAATTCTATTTTAATCTACAGAAGCTGATGAGTATTTTACAGGAATGATAAAGAAAGAGAAGAAACCCCAGCACAGAGTCTTGGCAAACAATCACACTTGGAGGGCGGGAGATGGATAATTTGGCTGTAAGGTAATGCCGCTTCCTTATGGAGACATTTTATTTACTGAAAGGGGCAGATAAACGACATTTATGTGAGAAATAGAGAGAAGCAGTTTATGGAGAAATATCAACTTTTTGGAGAGGACCTGGGAAAAAAGGAGCCCCTCAGTGCTTGCAGACACTGTTCTGAGAGGGTCCTAATGAATGCAGGTCCCCAGAGTCATTGTTTCCTAGGAGCTAATTTACATTAACTGTTTTTAGGACTTGGAAATTTACTTCTGGGAAATTCTGAGTCAAAGAACTGTTTAGGGACCAGGAGTTGAGATTTTCAAATTTTCAACCTAATATAGAAGTAGGTTGTAACACATGAGTAGTCACTGATTTGAGGCAGAAAAGACAAACAGGCCAGAAATTTTAAAATAAAAGGTGAGACATCAGAAGCTAAGAGAAGCAAAGTCATCAGAAGCTGCTACTCTTAAGTCAAGCTAACAAGAGATGGAGAGTTCTGGAAACTGGGAGCCCAACTGATTGGAGGAAAGAGCTGATGCCTGGAGCTGGAGAAAGCAAAATCTTCTGATGTTTGAAGAGTTAAATAGGAAAATACTGCTGTGTTCTCTAGTACCACCCACACCTTTAGAGGGGACACCAAAAAGAGCTTACCACTGCTCCAGTGGCCAGAAAGTAGCAGTGAAATGACTTTATCTAAGAAGAGGAAGAGGAAGACACTTCTGTGTTGGTGGAATATGACCCAAGTTCATAGGTAGATTATGTTATGATTGTTATTGTTTTGTCTTCTATTAGTAAATGTTTTGTGATTATGATTAAGAGTTAATGGTGCCATCATCTTGGCTAATTTGTTTAAATGGTAAGCATATTGGTAGGGGTTCAGAAGCTACAATTTTGAATAGTAGACATATGTATCCCCCTATAGCAGGGTTGTCTTTAGGCCCCTGAGAATAAATTGCAGCAAATTGGCCACCCTAGATAACCACCATGACCTGACAGACAGCACATGTGGAAATGAAGTGAGTGAGCCAATCCCAGCCCAGCAGGAGAATCTTTAAAGAGAGTTAGTGGGGGCAGCAAGGTGGCGCAGTGGATAGAGCACCAGCCCTGGAGTCAGGAGGACTTGAGTTCAAATCTTGCCTTTGACACATAACACTCACTAGTTCTGTGACTCTGGGCAAGTCACTTAACCCCAATTGCCTCACAAAAAAAAAAAAAAAAAATAGTGGTCAGTACCATGGCCTTCAGGCAACGTAGCTAAGGAGACTGAAAAAGTCAGAGGCAAAATAAGAAGCAAATGGTATTGAAGCTAAAGGAACACAAAATATCCAAGAGGAGAGGGTGGACAACAGCGTCAAACACCAGAGAAGTACAGTAGGGACTGAGAAAAGTCTAGTAGTTAAGAGGTTAGTAACCACTGAGAGAGCAATTTCAATAGAGCAGTAAGATCATAAGCTGGTTTGCTAGGGCTGAGGAGTGGGAGGTTCTTCCTAAGAGATTGTTTATAAAAGAAGAAATGCAGAAGGACACCAGAGTCAAGTGCAGATTTTTATGGATTAAGAGCTTACATTATATGCAAGAATGAAGACCTATAAATATTTGTAGGCTTTGGAAAAGGAATCAGCAGATACAAAGAAATCAAAGATAAGCGGGAATAATTAAAAGGGTAACCTTTCAAAAGAGACAAGGTCAACGGTACAAATAGAGTTATTGGAACCAATTGGGGTATTGATAAATATATTTTGTTACATAACTATAGGGGTAGTGATGAACCTATGATTTCATGGACATAGGAAACTCTCACATGAAGAAAAGCTTTCTAGCAATGCAGGTCATCACCTTAACTGCAACTAATAGTTTTAAAAGATTGTTTAAAGCAGTGGTGTCAAATGCAGATAGAATGAGGGCCACTAATCCACACATAAGGATATCATCAGGCTGCATATTGTCTTAGTTTTAAAATGTAATATTATCTGTTTTATTGTATTTTTATTTTGTTAAACATTTCCAAATTATATTTTCATCTAGTTCAATTTTTATTCAGCTCCTGGCTGACTGACATTTCTGGTCCACTGCAAAGAGAGGTCAAAGGATTTGTAAAGGGTCACACATCCAGTATATGTCAGACATCAGGATTTACTATGTTTTACTGTCTCTAAGGTCAACTCTATTCACTACACCATGCTGGCTATCATGATCATAACTGAAAATTATATGAATATAAAGGAAGGTTCATTTATCTTAGGAATAACATATGAGAATACAGAGAAAAACAGGAAGATTTAAACAAAATTACGTAGAATGAAATAGAACCAGGAGTTCAATATGCACTATCACTATAATGAAGTACATGGAAAGAACAATAAAATAAAACTAAATGTTGTATAATTATAATGTTCAAGATGGGCCCTAGAGAAAAGATGAGAAAATGTACCTCATTTCTTTGAAGAGGCAGGGGTGTGTGTTTGTGTGTCTAGGGATGTGAAATATTTTATAAACTGTCATGTATGGTTGATGTATTATTTCATTTTGCTAAACAGTTTTTAAAAAAGTCTTTGTTAAAAGGGAACAAAGCTAATCTTTATAGCCCCAAGGCCTCACACTTATAAATACCCATTGAATTATTCATGTTCATTATTGAGGTCTGAAGAAGCTAGATTTTAGTCCCAGGTCTGTTATTGGTTGTGCCACCATATATGTTTCTTAACTTCTTTTGAGTTTTTGTGTGGTGAACCCAGGGCTCAGTCTTGACCCCTCATTTGTTTGGCTTCAATTATTATCTCTACGAAGATGTCCATCAAATTGACCTATCCAGACCTTACTCTCTTATTATCACCATATCCAGTCCCATAGCACCAATAGTCTGCTGGATAGGTCCATTTGGATATCTCAGCCATCTCAACCTCAACATGTCCAAAATGGAATATATTTCCCCCCACAAAGTCACCCATATTTCCAACTTCCTTATTTCTATCAAGGGTATTACATATTTCCAACCCAATTTGCAACTTGGGAATAATCCTTAACTCTTTCCTCTCCCTCAACCTCCACATCTAAGCACATGCCAATCAATTTTTCCTGACCTTTCTCCTCACACCACTTCTACTGTAGTTCTAGCCTTCATTGCTTTTCATTTTGATTAATGTAAGAACTTTCTGATTGGTCCTCCCTCAAGTCTCTACCCAGCTGTCAAACTTAAATTCCTGTGGTATAGATCTTGTCATGCATCCAAGAAGCTTCAGTGGTTTCCTATTGCCCTTTAAGGCAAAATACAAACTCCTTTGGCATTTAAATCCCATCACAGTTTAGTTCCAACATATTTTCCAATTACTTCCTCTTATAGATTCTATATTCAAGTCACACTGGTTTACTTCTTTTCAGTACTTAACATTTCATCTCCTCCTTGGTGATTTTTGCATAGGCTTTTCCAACCCTAGCTCCTTCCAAGGCTCAGCTCAGGTGCCACTTACTAAGAGGCATTTCTTGATTGTTCCAGTTGTTACCAACTCCTTATTATATGTATTTTATATATACCTAACTGGGTACAGGGTGTTTGCCCTCATTGACTATTTTACTTTTGTTTATCTCTAGCACTCAGTATGGAGTCTGGCACATAGAAGCCACTTAATAAAGGCATGAATTAATCTTCTCATGTATAAAATAAGGTTTATACTACCTACCTCATAGGATTGTTATGGGGAAAAGCACTTTGTAGAACCTAAAAGTCTAAATGAGGAAAGTGCCTTTACAGGTCTACTTAAATAGATGCTATTATAGTTGATCCTAATAACAAGCACTCACTACTGTGAAGTAGGTGGCCCCTTTATTTTACAAGAGGAAAAAGAGAAATAAAATGACTAGTCCAAGATCACACAGCAGCAGTGCTTACACTGGCACTCAAGTCTCAACACCCAGTGCAATGCTTTCCCAATTACCAACCATCCCACATTACGGAACCACCTAGGAATATCCTGATCTTGCCCAGGTTAGCTATTATTCTCCTTATCTCTAAAATGCAGAAGAAGGAAAACAAGAAGGAGGTGTGGGAGGGCGGCCTAGTTAATTTCCAAATTAACACTTAACCTAGACTATTCATTCAGCACTCAGGGAGCGCATTCTACCCTGTAGTACTCAGCTCACTGGAATCCACGACTTTTACAGCTTAAAGGCGAACTAGCGTAGTAATAAGAACACTAGACCAGAATCCCAGGCCTGCGTTAACCTTAGGCAAGTCGCTTAACCTCCTGGACTAGAGGGCTTTATGCTAAAGTCCGAGCCGGCTCTGAGGCCTGTGACCCCAGGGCACGCGGTTCATCCTTCCAGCTGGGCTTGTCTGCACCATTCCGGCGCCTAACACGTTCTATCAGCCATCCCCCGGTTTCCGGAGGCGCACGGGGAGGGCGGGGCCTGCGCTGGGGGAGGCCGCTTCCGAGGTCAGGCTCAGGACTCCGTCTCCCCAGGTGGGCTGCAGGGATCAGCGGGGCGGGCCTTCTCCGCACTCCAACATGGCGGCTGCGGCGGCCATAAACGGAGCCAAGCGCAACTTGCGGGCCGAGATGAAGCAGCGGCTGCGGGCGATCGGCGCCGAGGAACGGCTCCGCCAGTCCCGTCTGCTGACAGAGAAGGTGCGCGGGGTGAAGCGGGAGCGCGGGCCTGGGGCCCCAGGGAAGCGTCGGGCCTGCGCGGGGGTGACGACCTGGACGTGACTCGTTTCTGAACGCTGCTCGGGCGCGGGGGCGCGCACGTGATTAGGCCTTCGGGGACGCGACTCCCCCTCCCCTTCACGTTTAACGCGCGCGCCCCCGCTCTTCTGCGCGCATCCTTCCTGGGCTCCTAAGACCTAGAGGGGGAAGGGCCCTTTGATCTCATTGACCCCTCCCCTCCCAGTGTTCAGATAAAGAAACTGACGGGAGGTGAAACTGAGGCCATGGGGAGAAGAGCAGTAATTCCAAGCCAGGAGCTCCGGCGCCAAGCTCAGGCGTTCTTTCCTCTGTCATACCTCCCTCCCCAAATGCAGCAGTTACAAAAATCACACTTCAATGCATTTCTTAAAACTACCCTGGCACAGCTAGGCATATCCCAAGAAGAGGTTAAAAATAGAAAAGTCCCCAAATCACTTTAGAAGTTGAAGCCGCGTGTTGTAAAGTGGTGGAGAGGCCCATGCTGGTCTATTTGGCTCTGATACGGTTGTTCAGATGTTTTCTGTACTAATATCACAGCACAATGTGCAGCAATTCTGCATGTGTATTTCTGGAAGACCTCTGCAAGGCACGGCTGGGTGCTGAGAATGCAAATATAACATGATTTTTACCTTCAAAAGTTCTTGCTTACTAGGATATAAAACTCCCCGAATGAAGGGTTTACCCCCTTTTCTGTCTAGCACAGTTTCTGGGGTGTACTGCCCACTCTACCCTCAGGAACTTAGTAAGTGCTTGTTTGAATGAATGAATGATTATACCATCAAAGTCTTCAAGATTAACATACCTTGTATTGTACCATTTTGCACAAGGTATCCATTTAAAAAAGGGGACACTTGGAAAGAATGGAAACATGTGACAAAGTTGTATGTTAGAAGTCATCAAGATGTTAGAATAACTGCTGGACTTGGAGTCAGGAAGACTTGGGTTGAAATCTAACCTTTGATATTTACTAGCAGTGTTACCATGGGCAAGTAAGTCCACTGCACCTTTCTAATCCTCATTGGCAAAATGAAGGAGTAGGACCAGATGATCTCAAAAGTCCTTTCCAATTCTAAATCTGTAGTTCTATGATTAGGCAACTCTTCTAGACTAAATTATAAAGAGTGTCTGTCTAAGGGACTTCCCATAGCACTGAAATAAAAATTCCTTCATGTTTGAATGACTTAGGCAGTGAATGTTAAAAGAGTTGAGAGGAAAGAAAGATCACTTTCCTCTGGGTTGATTAAGAATGCTTCCATGGAGTAAGTGAAATTTGATCTGTGCCTTGAAGGGTGCATTGGATTTTCCTAGGTATTGAAAGAGGAGGAGAGTCTACTAAATGAAGTGGATTGATTAATGAATTTGGAGTCAGTAGACCTAGGACCTAGTTATTTATACTGGAGAAGGAGATGGCAAAGCACTCCAGTATCTTTGCCAAGAAAACCCCAAATGGAGTCACGAAGAATCAGACACCACTGAACAGTGTACAGCGGACCTGGGACTTGGGTTCTGACTTTAACCCTTATTAGTTGTGTGACTTTGAGCAAATCACTCTACCTATATGAGCCTGAATTTCCTCATTTGTAAAATGGGGATAATAATGTTTGCACTACCTCTCTTTACAAGTTTGTATGGAGAACATCTTATAAACCTTAGAATGCTATATAAATGAGAGATTTTATAGGTGAATTTTAATACATTTATGTACTTTTAGTCTTAGAGAGTTACCTGGGGCCTTGAAAAGTTAAATGACTCGCTCAGCATCATACTATTAGTATGTGGCAGACTTATTTTAAATCTAGACCTTCATGCCTCCAAGGTCAGACTTCTCTAAGGTTATAAATACCATTAATATGCTGATCTAAATTAGTGGAGGGAGTTTTTATATTGGTGGTTCTCATACAGATGTACCCCAATAGTATTTTAATACTTCAGGGATCCATCATTTCCTTGTAGTGAGTGATGCTTTCATAAATTCATATTCCTACTACTCCATAGTTCAGAAGATGGTCTTTGAAGATTCTGGTGGCTAAAAATTTCATCTCTTCACAGCCATCCTGGTGATGAGCCTCTTTGAAATGTCTGGGATGGTACTTGGCCCATAATAGAAGACTTTCCACTTTCATAGGACTTACCAGAGCTTGTGCTCTAACTAGGTGGAACTGTGAATAGAGCACTGGGCCTGGAGTCATGAAAACCTGAGTTCAAATCCTACTTCACACATTTGCTAGCTATGTGACCCTAGGTAAGACACTTAACAGCTATTTACCTCAGTTTCCTCATCTGTAAAATGGAGTTAATAATATCACCTACCTCCTAGAGCATCTATGAGGATCAAATGAAATAATAATTTTAAAGTGCTTAGCATTGTGCCTGGCATATAGTAAGCGCTATATAAATGTTAGCTACTACTACTACTACATAGTTTTAATAACTCAATATTCTCACTCTCCCACAATTAGCATGGGAATGTCATGAGCATAGACAGACCTTGTCAAAAAACCCCATCAAAAAAAACTAGTCTGATTTGACCTTTTCTTGGTGAAACCATGTGAGTTGTTGGTGATAACGAACTTTTAAAAATACTTATAAGCTTTCCCTTTTGCTAAAACATTTTAGAATTTTGTCAGGGATTAAATCATACTCACTAGCTTGGATACGACACTATTTTCCTTTGGAAATCGGGACATTTGTTGATCCCCTGTTCTGTGATACTTCACCCATTCTCTGCAATCTTTCCAACTACACTGACAGAATCACAGGGAAGTACAAATTCTTTGTACTGTGTACTATGGTATGGCTGATCTGGGCCTGGTGATAGGAACTCATCTGCTGAGAGTAGATAAATATTTTCTTTCTATATCCTCACTTAACTTGGAGTTTAACCCTCTGTTCACCATATTTATTCTCTTCCTCAGTCCCAAGACCATTTTCCTTAGAAGGAAAAACTGAGTCAACATAGGACTTTAGAGCTTCTTCCTTCTCTAACTCATTCATTATTATTGTCCCATCCATTCTTCATAGTAGACCTATCCCTTATTTGATCTTCCTTTTGGCTCCAAAAGAACTAAAAAACCCACCTTTTTTGTTGTGTTTAGCATTCATTATTATCCTTAGCTTATTCTAGACCTTAGCATTTCTGATTTTTTGGTAAGACTGCATCACTCTTTTGTATTTATCCTCCATTTCTGCCCCTTTTTTCCATCTTTTATAAATGACTTTAAAAAAATCTTAATCAATGAATGAATGCCCTGTGGCTCATAATCAGCATCACAAGATGATAGGAAAATGTATTTCTTACCTCATTAAGTATAGTCTTCCTGGACCAGAATCATCATTACTATATTTTAAGCAATAGCCCAGAAATCCAAATCCTATTCTCAGGAAACATCTTCTTAATTAGTTGTTCACTTCTCTAATTAGTCTCTCTTCTGAAGGCCCTACTTCAATAAGCAGCTGTAATGGAAACACCATTTGTTTTTCCAGAGTCTTCAATTTCTTTCTTAGGATTCATAATACCTAGGTTCTTTCTGTAAGTATTGTTTGTCCCTACATGAATCTATAGGAGTAGGTTTTGGTCATTAGCTTTGACGTGTCTGAGGAGTCTTTCCACATCCTAGATATGTGCCCTAGGCAGCTAGGTCGTGCAGTAGATAGAGCACTGGGGCTGGAGTCAGGAACACCTAAGATAAAATTCAGCTTCAGATACTTAGCTGTGTGGCCCTAGACCTCTGTTTGCTTCAGTTTCCTCAACTGTAAAAAGAGGATAATAGTAGTACCTATCTCCCAAGGTGGTTGTGAAGATCAAATGAAGTAATATTTGTAAAGCAATTTAGCACAGTGCCTGGCACATAGTAGGTACTTAATAAATGCTTGTTTACTTCCTTTTCCCCTCCCTCCCTCCCTCTTTCCCTTCCTTCCTGTTGACCAATAGCCATTTTGGTACTCTTTAGCAGAGACTTTCTCTCTTGGTTGTTCCTGGACATCATTATGCCTTAGAGCACAGGACAATGTTTCCTTCTCAGCGGGTTCCCACTCAGTAGGAAAAGCCTCATATCTACTGCTCAGTTTCAGATGTTCAGTGGTCAGTTTTCTCTTCTTGCTGTATTCATATTCTTCTGCCTTCTAGACTCCTGATATAGTTTATATTCTTTTTCATATTCTTTGTTTTCTCTTTGAAGCACTTCCTTATTTAAAGGAATTCTATTCTCTGCTTATATAGAGAGTAGAGAAGCTTTCTTTTAGTCCTTTCTTATTCCCTTGTACAGAGATCATTCTCTACTTTGTGTATACATATTTGTTAACTTGTCACTTGGCAGAAACAGGAGCGTGACGTTTTTGGCGGATCACTGCATAATTCCACTTGCCCTTTATCCCTTTTAGAAGCTAGATATTCACTCTTCTGTCTTGTTAGTAGTTTTTGTGGCCAATTGCCATAGCACATGGCACATGGTTCATTGTACTTCAGACTTCTGAATCAGGTTTTATTTATTTATTTATTAGCAAATTTCCTGCCTTTTCTTGCAATATAATAATAGTTTGTTTAGCTGCCTATGATTAGAAATGACTGGATTGTGTGCCTAGCCCAAATGGAGGTAGTAATTGCCCTAAGTTTTTTTCTGTGAATCTCAATTAGAAAGTCAATTATCAACCTTTTTTGTATCTCTTCATACATCTCCCCTCTACTATTTTTTTAAAATAAACTTTAAATATAATCTCTTGTATTACTGGTTTTGTGGATTACTATTCCTTCCCCCTAGCACCTTGCTTGTTGAGTTAATACTCATCATTTTAAGCCCAGTACAAATGCCACCACTTTCATGAAGCTGTTCATGATTTCTGCATTTGTTAAAAATCTTCCCCCTTAGCCTTCACTTAGCATTCTATTTTATATTCTTTAGAGCTCTTAACATGTTGTATATTATTATTATTGCTCTACTATTTTG